TAAGCATAATTGGAAAAAAAACCCTTAAAAATCCATAATCAGTAATAAGTTTATTTCGATGAATAACAAAATAAACCAAAGCAAACCAAATGTTGAACAATTTTTTCTTTATTTTCACCCAAAATTAAAGCAGACATTCGAACATTAGAACGGCTCCTGATCATACATAATAAACATTCACTGTCTATTGTATTTAACAATATATGTTTAAATAATGATCAGCTGCCCCAAATATATATTAATATATATATATATATATATATATATATATATATATATATATGTTTCATTAATCTTCCTAATGCGATGAAGAAATTTCCAAGGATGAAATCCAATAGCTCAGAAAACCAAAATATAGATACAGAACATAGAGTATAGATTTCATATTAATCTTGTCTTTATCGCTTTATCGTTAATACAATGATAATGTTTCTATTCTGAATAAAAGATCTGTAATAATTTATATTTACAGCTTCCTGCAGTTTCATCAAACGGACTAGTAATGTAAAAGGTAGAAAATCTAGTAGAATTTCAGTAAAACTGTCATGACATCGTAAAACTGATATATCGTTATACTACAATTCATGGATATAAGGGGAAATATTCGGTATATTAAAATAACAGAAGTTTCCATGAATACAATAATTAGATTTTTAAAAATGAGTAACCAATGTTGTTTAATAGAACTAAGATCAGAAAGGGACAGGTTAGTCTGAGGAGAGTGTGAATTTATTATTACTATCAGCAATATCATGAAAATGATACACTACATTGTTTTTTTGTTGAGGATTTAGTTATTGGAAATATTTTCATCATTAGAACAGCTCCTTAATACATAATAAACATTCATTGTCTATTTTATTTAAAAATATATGTTTAAATAATGATCTACTGTCCCAATGCATATATATATATATTATAATATTTTTTGTTTTAAAATATGATTCCTTCGCTACATAAGAGTTCTCATGTTTCAAAAACGACAGCCGAAACCATCCAAATAATTATTAAAATTAAGTTGAATTGAGGTGTTTAGTCCCGTTTCATCTTCAAGCGAAATTTTAGGAATAAGCTATCTCTTGGTTTCCGTTTGTTTTTAAGCATGGTTCGTTATAACATTTTTTATTCGTTTCTTTTAGATGCCAGAAATATTGGGATAGAGATGTCTGATTTCTATTTTGAATATTGTTGAAGGAGCTCTTTTGTTGCCTCCATCTAATTTTAAATTTATTCTTCGTTAACCCTATGTATATCCTATCAGTGTTAGGACTCTCAATGGATGAGATAGTGCAGTGGAATACCACGGATTTCGTGAGGCATTTATTTTCCAACGGGCAGACTTTAGGGTTTCTACAATCACATAAATTTTCGGTATACCCCTCCGTACAAGCAAATGGTCAGTACCAAACTAGGCCATAAGTTCCTAGCTTTAATTGAAAAGCACTTTCCCACTAATAGAAAACTTAGCGAGATCTTTAACAAAAACACCTTAAAATTGAGTTACAGTTGCACTGAAAGTCTAGAAAGAATCATAAAAAAGACATAATAAGAAAATCCTAGAAAAACACGCATACCAAAACAGTAATAAAACTCATAAACTAAAATTAGATAAAAATAACGAAAAATTATCACATAATTTTTTGTTTATACGTTATTTTATGAATACAAATATTTAAGGAAATGCTTTTCGTAGCATATATATATATATATATATATATATATATATATATATAGAGAGAGAGAGAGAGAGAGAGAGAGAGAGAGAGAAAGAAAAGAGACAGACAGAAAGAAAGAGAGAGAGAGAGAAAACAGACAGGAAGAGACAGAGATATATTATATATATATATATATATATATATATATATATATATATATATATATATATATATATATATATAAAAAATACAGAATAAATATTAAGAGCTTTTTAAAAGTCACTTATATTCTTTCTTCTTTAATCAAGGGACTTAGGGAAATGTTCTATGATTTATTATTTAAGCATACACAAAATGCATGTACACACATTTCTTTCTTTCGTTTTTGTATCTGATGAAGCCTAGAAAGGCGAAACGCGTAATGAAATCTATTTTCAATGAAATATTTTCCATTTCTCAAATTTCTCAAAAACTTTGTTGGGATTCTGTATCCTATTTTACCCCCCCCATATATATATATATATATATATATATATATATATATATATATATATGTGTATAAACTTTATTTTAATCCTTCATGAGCTTCTGATCCTTGGTGTGATTAATTAATGATGAAAATATCATTTTCGTTTATGATCGATTTCGTCATGATTCTTCCGTTAAGCTTGGAGAGTAACAGGGAATAATAGATTACATAGAGAATTCCATTAAGATATCTTTAATCATTTCTAAGATACAACGGTTCATAGCTTAATCTAACAGATGGATACTTTTCTTTTCACAGGATTGGGATAATTTTGTTGTTACATTTGCTATATCTATAGGGAAATAATTATCAATAATAAAGGTAAAGTGTTTACAGATATCGAGAATGTGGATATAGGAATTAATAATGCAGAGTGATTATAATAATAATAATAATAATAATAATAATAATAATGACAAAGCCTGCAATAAAACGAATCCAAAACACATTGAACCGAATTATTTTACGGAAAACAAGAATAGTATGCAAGAAGCCAAGGAAGGAATCATGATGCATATATCTCAGACACAAAATATTAAAATGGAGGAACGAGAACTACTCCCAAAATTACAATCAACAAAGTATAACCTCAAATCTATTAAACTCTACACTGCAGCAGCAGCAGTCAAATTAATTCTTGATAAAGTAGACCCACATATAGATCTTAACGAATCAATATTTGCATCAGCAACAGAAGCAATTAAAACATTAAATAGAAAAGTAAAAAGAAGCCAGTTTAACAGACATGAAGATCCACAATGGAAAAGAAAAATAGAGAAAGTAATTTAACAAATTATCAGTGAAGAGGAACAAATATAAGGATTAGAAAAGGTAGAAGACTCAGAAGAAAATACAAAGTTAGGAATGAAAATAAAGTTCTATCAGCTAAAGAAAAAATAAAGCAAACAATACAACTGAAGTTTTAGAGAATCAGACACTATGAAGAAAGATAAAGATTCTACAGACAAAACAAAATCTTTCAAACCGATGCGAAGAAATTTTACAGAGAAATAGGCAAACAAAAAATTAAAATGACAACTCCACCAACAATGGAAGAGGTTATATTGTTCTGGGGGAAAAAAATATGGGTTTGTCCTAAAGAACATAAAAAAGAAGCGGACTGAATTACGTAACATGAAAAATAAAACACGAACAAACATGGACGGGAATCACAAGAAGAGGATGGTGAATGTACACTGAAAAAAAGCTCAAATCTACAGGAATGGATAAAGTTCCTAACTTTTGTTTCTATTACCTAAATACAACACACAACAAAACAGCCAAAGAATTTCAGGAAATGGTTAATGATCCTAATAAAATCCGGCATGGGTAACTAAAGAAATTACCTTCCTTCTACCTAAAACTGGTGATACAAATGTTCTAAAAAACTACAGACCAAGTACATGTCTCCCCATTATTTACAAACTGTTGATATCTCTTCTGATAAAACAGACATATTTCTTCTTAGAAAAACATGGCATACTACCTCTTAAATAAAAAAAGGGTGCAAACGTGGTTCTTACAGATATAAAGACTTATTACTTATCAATAGGATGATCTTGGAAAATTGCTTCAATACAAAGAAAAATCTCAGTACTGCCTGGATAGATTATTGTAAGTCATTCGATAGTGTATCCCATTTCTGGATATTAAGATATTTTAATATATACAAAGTATCAGTTGTCATCAATTTCATCAAAGAATGTCGATGTAGAGAACAACACTTCAACTCAATCATATAAATGGAGTCTCTATGTCTGGTGAAATAAACATCAACAGAGGAATATTTCAAGTTGACTCTTTGTCTCCTTGACAATTTTGTATATCACTAATAGCATTTACCAGCTGACTTAACAGGACGGAATATGACTATAAGTTATCTTGAAAGAAAATAAGCGATTTATTGTACATGACTGACTTAAAGTTGTATGCTAGGAATGAAAGTGAAATGAAAGGTTTCCTGAAAACAGTAAAACGTTTCAGTGATGAAATTGGAATGGAATTCGGTTTGGAGAAATGTGCTAAAGCCACAATTTTAAGAGAATCACTGCAACAAACTTCCTCTATTAGTTTAGACCCTGGGGTAAAAATCAAAGATTTAGAGCAAGAAGAAGCTTATAAGCACCTCGGTGTAAATGAGGGTGAAGGAATTTACAACAAAAATGAAAGAAATAGTACAATAGAAGGGTGCGACTGATATTAAGAACTCGATTGAATTCTCAGAAGAGAATTATGGTCATTAATAACCTTGACATCCCAGTGGTTCAATATAGTTTCAATCATCTTGAGCTGAAGTTTAAATGGTATCAGACGAATAGATTCTAAGACAGGAAAATTTCTTTTTAAGCATAGCGTGCATTATCCAACGGCTGATGAAGACTGTCTACACATACCCAGTAAAGAAGATGGAAGAGGCCTTATTCAACTAGAACTGTCATACAAGACAATAGCAATCGGCTTACTAACATATATGGAAGCAACAAACGATTGGATGATACAGTTCGTGAAACAACACGAAAACGGAAAAAATGTTCAATCATGAAAGATGGTTGTAAATACAAACAAGATTTACATTTGGTAGAATTTGTAAAAAGAAAACAAACAAGATAGAACCCAAGAACAAACTGTTGCAGCAAAAATGATGACAAAGAAAGTCAAGGATAAAACTCTTGAACAGATGAAACAATGCTGGCAAGAAAAACCATCTGCATGGCTAAAATCCAGAACGAGGCTAATAAAGCCGATATTGATAAAGTTAACACTCATCGATGGTTACGAGCATCTGAGGGAGAAAGAGAGAGCGAAAAGGCAAAAACTTAGTGAGGGATGGAAAGAGTAAAAGAGAGTGAAAGAAAGAGAGTGAGATTAAGAGGTTTCGACTTACCTATTATTGATATGGATTCCGATGTTTGTGGCATTTTGTCCGCTACCATCAACATGAACACAGTGAGAGTGAGTAGGACGGACAGACCGAGGGTCACTTTCTCTCCGCTCTCGGGGGGAAGTAAGAATCCTGCTAGGCAGAGAATTGACAGGATTATACAAGGGATGATCAGGTTCATCAAATAGTATTTGATGCGTCTGCGTAGGTGCACGTAGAACGTGACATCCGGGAAGGGCTCCGGGCAACAGGCGTAGTAGACGACGTTACGCCGCACCTTGACGCTTACCAGTTCCCATTCACCGTTGTCCACGAAGTTTGTCAGGTCGATGGTATTCGACCTGTTCATCACGTCCACCTGGAGACCGTTATAGGCCCACGAACCGAGTTTGAGACGGCAGACCTGATCGTCGAAAGGGAAGTATGTGATGTCGATCCTACAAGAGCTGCGAAAACGCACGACTGGACCCCAGAACACTCGACCTGTGCTGTAGACCATGGCCAAACTTGGCATGTAACCCGACGTATAGTCATCAGCGCTGAAAAAGAAAGTGGCAAGAATGTCATCATAAACAGTGTAGTTGATAAAATTAAACGTTCACTTATCTTGTTGACTACTCAAAGTTTTACAGCGATTACATCCCCTTCATCAAAAGAGCAGGCATGAGTAAACAAATTTGTTTTATTTATCATTATTATGGGACCTTACCCATAATAACATAATGGACTATTCCATACGTAATAAAAACTGCGCCTCAAGAGGAAGCAGGGAGTTCAGTATGGAGTGAGGTCCGTCAGAAATCCGTCAGGAGTCAGTCAGTCAGTCAGAGCGAGCGAGTCAGTCAGTGGAGTCAGAGGCAGTCCGAAACAGAGTCGCGTTCAGACAATTACTACAAGACATTGGAATAGTGATAATGGTCGAGACTACATTGTTCTCTCTACTAAACCTGATTGTTCATACTAACACTTTCTACCTCTCTGTATATATTCCTGTAATATATATGTGTTATTCCTGTTTGTAATATATATGTGTTATTCCATATCCGTGTTCGAGTTCTTCTTTATTGGTTCTACCTTGGACTATCACCGTGGTACAAGGAACCGGACCATAACATTAATTCTATAAGAAATATATATATATATATATATATATATATATATATATATGTGTGTGTGTGTGTGTGTGTGTCTATATTTCTGAGGTGAGATATTATACACTATTTACATTATTCGGACTATTGTCCTCATCTTTGTTCCCATATTTATCACAACGTTTCGTCTGTTGTATGCTCCGGCCTTCTTCAGGTGGTAGGAATGTCGACCTGAACCCTTTATTTCGCCCGCCGATGTTACTGGTTAAGGCAGTGGAGAGTTTGGAAAGATGAACTAACAGGAGATAACTGATAACTGATAACTGACGTCCATTAGATATGTCACGTGGAGCTGGCGATCATGTATCTTTTATGACGAAGCAGATTTCTTTTCCCGCATTAGGTTGCCATTTCTTTCTGAAGTAGACCAGTTGCCATTCTAGGCTAGAGAACTGTCCTGCTACTTACCCATAGCTGGCGGGCGGAGGGGAGAAGAAGAGGGTTAGGGTATTAGCACGTAAGTAAATATAATGGATTCGACTGGAATTCGAACTCGGCTCTCCGATTCCTCAGTCCGATTCCTCAGTCCAAGACGCTATCCATTACTTCAAGATAAAATCTCTAACCTGATCTTTTCATCAAATGTGGCATCGGTGGTATCGAATCATTTCTGATGCAATCACGGTTCAGATGGGCTTGTCATGTCATCAGAATGAGTGATGATCAGATGCCGAAAATTCTCATGTATAGCCAACTTTTTCATGTTAAGTGTAATGTATGCCGTCCTTGGTTACGCTTCAAGGACAAACTTAAATACAATTTAAATGCTGCAAATATCGCTATAGAGGAGTTCGAACTTGCTGTTGAAAACAGAGCAAACTAGAGAAATACCTGCTACCGAGGTATAACTAACTTTGAAAAGAATCGTCTGAACCATCTGGGAGAATTAAGAATTAAGACTAAATCTTGGGCCCATATGACGGTCAACTCTTCAGGAGACCCTTCGTGTGGATTTGTTTGCAAATCCCGTACAGGATTGTTGTTTTATACGAAACATAAGCATAAGAACTGAACTGAAAGGCACTCATACGTCGAAAAACGACGGGAGAGTCCATCATCATCAGCAGCATATATATATATATATATATATATATATATATATATATATATATATATATTTAATGAAAAACAGACCGCTTTAAGGTACCATTACAATAATTTATTTCACCAAAATCCTTTTAAAGGACTCCGGATCATCAGGTAACAATTCAACAACGAAATGAAAGGAAAAATGGATTAGAAATTGATGGGTAGTGTAATTTTGTAATTAAACAGGAGGTGAAAGTGGCAGTTAAAGAGACAATACAGAGTATAGGAGGGTTAAATTTACATCTCTCTTAAATAAGCTTTATATTGGGGTAGGAGGAGTGACCTAACCTTGACCTATTTATATGGTTAAAAAAGAAAATAAAAAAGTTCATATATATATATATATATATATATATATATATATATATATATATATATAGACTTAAAAAAAACGGAGTCATACCTAAGGCACCTTTCGGCCAACGCCTTTTCAAAGATATTCGTTGGCAATATTAGATATAAATGAATACAAAGACACACTTAATGAAGTAAATGAGGAGGGAAAGGTGGAACTCGACTAAAAGACAAATTTTAATTATAGAAATTAAAATTGGACGAGGGGGGATGTAAATAAATAGTTCGAGAAGAGTATAAAATGGAAAAAGGGGAATTCACAGACCCCCCCCAACAGACGTAAGGAACGTAAAAAGTGTTCCTTCTGTCTGTACAGACTGGGTTGCTGACACTTAATATAGACGGCTTTAGAAACTCTAAGATGGTGTGTTGATCGAGCAATCTGTCAAACCGAAAACCACTAAAAGCACCAGAAGATTGCGTTTGCCGTGAAACTCCGAGTAGTGCAAACGGCGTAGGTTAACATGTATATTCATTAATATATATATAATTTATAGTTCTTTTATATAACATCGATCACTGTTTCAATAACACCAGCAGTTTGTGTGCAATTCACACACACACACACGCCCACATACATATATATATATATATATATATATATATATAATCATGGAAATTTTAACGAGTGTTACCTCGTTCCTTTTAGTTTCGATCTGAAATCAATAAAGAAAAGGTAACTTTTTAATGTAGCAAATAACTCTCTAGCTGTTTCTCCACGCCCGCAGTATACGGCCATTTTGAAACTGAAAGTCGTCACCAACGTCACCATTTTGTCAAGACGGCAGGTTGCCTCGTTTTGGATGCAAGCGGGTCAGCGATGCCTCATTAACGAAGCGACGTTATATAAGATTAATTTCCGGCGGTACCTTCAGTTTCATTCTCTGCCTTCGACAGCGTCGCTTTCAAATGATTTGATTAAAAGTGTACGATACCTTCCCGCACACCCCACGCGCGGACACACCCTCGACGGTGTTGTTTATGTAGCGAAAGAGGCTGAGTGTTCGAAACGGCCATTGACAAAAGTGATCGATTGACTGATAAAGATCAATAGAGGATTGCATCATCTGATTGATTGATAGGTCGGAACAGCTTGCGGTACACCAATTCCAAGAAAGAGCTTTATTGACGAAATGATGAATCTGATAATAAGAGAAATTAGAAAATTTCGAAATGGAGAAAGAGGTAGATAGCTCTCTCTCTCTCTCCATATATATATATTTGTTGAGATGTTGTGAGTTTCCCGCGTGTCGGTGTATGAATCAAGACAAACACAGTTGTAGAGGAAAATACTGGTATATTCATAAAAGCAATTAGCAATAGAGTGATTAGTAGAACGAAGGTTGGTTAGTACGAAACAATATCCAAAGTCTATAGTCCAACGGTATGTACCGGGTAAGCTTATCTGGACTGCTCACGCTGACTCTCTCTCTGACGCTCTGCCACTCTCTCTCCAGAGCTGACTTATATAAGAGGGACCAGTCCATTACTAGTTAGAAGGTGGGTGCGCCCCAACAATATTTTAAGACATTTTTATGTTTATACATTCTTTTTATAGATACAAATATTTAAGTAAATGCTCTGTTTATAATAAACACTATTAATAACATTTACCGGCCTGAATATCCGAGAAACTTTCACAGAAAATATTCGTCCTCCGACAGGAATCGAACATGTATCCTATACGGAACCGGCATATAGCCTGACGTGCCATAACCGATTGAGCCACAGAGAATCGTTCGGTTAGCAAGGTTATTAATACTGTTTATTATAAACAGAGAATTTACTTAAATATTTGTATCTATAAAAAGAACGTGTAAACATAAAAATGTCTTAAAATGATTGTCGGACTTTGTCCATTTCATAATGTGTGACGTCATTTGTTTACATTTGGATACGCATTGAGCAGATATGAATGTGCGTGAGAGAATAATGGAAGATTGTAGTTTAAAAGCAGTAAAATCGACCTTGCTAACCGAACTATCCTCTGTGGCTTAATCGGTTAAGGCACATTAGGCTATATGACGGTTCCGTATAGGATACAGGTTCGATCCTTGTCGGAGGAGGAATATTTTCTATGAAAATTTCTCGGACATTCAGGCCGGTAAATGTCATTAATACTGTTTATTATAAACAGAACATTTACTTAAATATTTGTATCTATAAAAAGAATGTATAAACATAAAAATAGCTTTATGTGTGTGTCCGCGCGCGTGTGTATGTGTCTACTTGCAACAATGTCTGAATTTTATTTTCTTGAAAGAACTCCAAGTATTACCTGTTGTACAACAGAACGTCAGGAAGCCAAATCATTTGACAAGGGATACGAGTGTTGTTTAAACCGTACTCCTCCGGGTCCCACGACAGCTTTTCATCTTCCCATTCCTAAAACAAAAAAGAAAAAAAAAAAAAAAATCAAGCATACAGAAACAGTTCAGTTAAGAGAAACTTTCTTTTTCAACAGCTTCAATTGGCAGTGAAGTAAATTTCTGCCTCTTGTTATAGAAATAGGGAAAAAAATCAGCTTGTTACACATTACACAATTCCCTCTCTTTTTTTCTGGTTTTCATAATATTTTTATATTACACGCGAAAGGTGCTGAAAAGTTCTCAGAACGACCAACTTCCCAAAACCATTATTCCAGTGATCAGGCAGAAATGTTTTGGTAGGGTTACTGAAGTGTTGTTGCGAGGATATGAAACATCGACTTCATTTACAAAGTAAATGAACGTAGAAGATAAACATATGAAAAAGTTAAAATAAAACACAGAAATCTTCGTATAAAAACACTTGGATATATGTATATGTTTATATTTGGAATTCTTAATACAAAGTTAGCATGTATCTACTAACAAAAGATTATGTAGCAAAAAAAAATAATATGAATATTTGTACTTATCTGTTTGATTTATCACGAACCCGACTTACATGCTTCCTGTTACTTTGATTTCCCGGTAGTAAAAGAGGCTGTTTGATTTGCCCGCTTAACGATGTCTCGTGGAAGCCTCGTCAGATTACGTGACTGTTTTTAATTCTCGTGAATATTTATAATTATTTTTATTGATAATTTTGTTTAGGTCAAGGGGAGATGAATTTTTGTCACTCGCAACAGAAGCGACAATGTTCGAAATCATTTGCATAAAAAGTAAGAACTCCTAAAGTCTGTGAAAAACTTTGCTACGGTCTAACATTGTTTGGTCTTTACAGTAAACATGAAGAAAACCAAGGTACTTGCACAGCCCCCCCAATATTGATCGTCTTACCAGATTTCGATTTTACCATCTGTGCAACATCTCTAGAACAAGTACAGAATTTTCCATATCTAGCTAGTCTTTTATCAATCAAGTGCACCTCAGAAAAGGAGACAGAACACAGAATTGGAGCAGCATTTGAAAAGCTAAACAAATCTTTAACAACAAAGAACTGTACTTAACAAAAAAATTGAAGTCTGTAATGTTGACATTTCAACTTTGCTATATAGTTGAAAAATCTGGACTCTATCGTCGCGACATCCAAAGATTAGCACGCTTTCGCCAGTATAAGTTTCGTTCAATCTTGAACATCAAATGGGATTATTATGTGACCAACAACAAAGTCCTGGTAAGAACCAACAGTCAAAGCAACGAATCGCTGATCATTAAACACCGTCTTTGATTGTCAGGAGACATCGCAAGAATGGAAGGTTTCCTTGTCAAAGTCTTAGTGAGATCACATCAGGGAAAAGAGCACGGGGTGCGAAAATGCAAGGATCAACTCAAAACAACAACGAAAACCACTGGACTTGAGCCTAGATCGTTTGAAAGACAAGCACAAAGCCGTACCAACTGGTGATGTTCCGTCACCATCAGGGGTAAAAATTTCGAAGAGGAAAGGAATAACTCATACGACAAGAAAACCAAGGTCCTGGCACAGTCATCCCCAAATACCATATTCTCATATTACCATTTGTGACACACCTCTAGAAAAAGTTGAGCATTTTCCATATCTAGGCAGCCTTTTATTAAAAGGATGTGAAACACAGAATGGGAGCTGCACACGAGGCATTTGGAAAACGTATCTTCAACAACAAAGTTCTGAAATTAATAACCAAAAATATGGTCTATAATGCTGCTGTCACTTCAACTTTACTGTATGGTTGCGAAACCTGGACTCTATTATTGCGTCAATCAAAAATTAGGCTTTCACCAGCAAAATCTTCGTTCAATCTTGAATATCAAATGGAATTACTATATAACCAATAATAAAGTCCCGGTAAGAGCCAAAAAGCAAAGCAACGAATCGCTGATCATTAAACACCGTCTTCGATGGTCAGAACATTTAGCAAGAATGAAAGAGTCAAGGTTCCCACGAATTTTCGTGAAATCAAGATAATTCTATTTGACCGGGCAGAGGGTTTTTCAGATTCCCCTTATAAAATACAATTTTTAAGGTAACCTGTTTCTTATATCAAAATCATTTCCGGAACCTGATGACTAGAGCAGGTAGCAGCATTAGACGGGAAATTGAACAGGGTCAGCATTGGCTTCGATAGAGACACTGGATCCCTCCCCCCACTATACAGAAAAGAAAGCGATCTTCATAGGCATAATACTATGAAAGCAAGAAATACAAATATTTCTTTGCTTACACGAAAACATTTGATAAGGAACGACACAATGGTCTACTAGGATTACTTGATTTATTTAGTGATGAGTTAGAAGCCATTGTTGAAGTGTAAGGTAAATAATACGATCAGATTGAATAAATTTTGCAATGCAAAGAAAAAGGTCAACATAGATAAAATAGCAACAATCATGCAAGCAAGCAATATAGGTAAAGTAAATCAAAATTGATAAGAAGGGAAAAAGAATTCACAAGCTATGAGTTGGTGATTGTACACAAAAGCAAGGTCGACGAAGCGAATTCCGTATGTCTTAGTAGTTAAAGCAGATCTGGACTGAGGTTATTTATCTCGCCTCCCCACAAGGCAAGATGTGACACAACGCCTTTTTTTTTATATGGGGAAAACCCGAGCCTGTAGTCTTGCGCAAAAATTTCTCGTGGATCCCGAATACACGGGTTCAGGCTTGTCTACCAGCCCTGATTCAGTCTGTCGGCCTAGCCTCGTCTGGGTTCCTCTCTTCCCGAGTTCGACAAGTCAGGCCAAACACCCTGAATCGGCAGATCTGGACCGAGTCAACTGAAAACACAAGTCGTCCCATTTTATTGGATGAGAAAAATATCCCAGCATGCATTCTGTGTCCTTCTGACTATTAGACGGGGTGGAGAAAACTTTTGCAATCATTCGCATTTCATTGGGAAATCGACATTTAGGAAAGATATTCGAATAATGCAAGATATTTACTGGAGGAACAAACCGCCTGCATACGGATAGAGCACGAAATAAAATAGATAAAAACAGAAATTTAGGAACGGCAAGGATGCATCTTCTCGCCGGATTTATGTAAACATACGGCAAGAAATGGGGAATATATTTCTGTTATTAAAACCATTTAAACAGTGGATCTATGGCAATCGAATTTCCTGTTGATTGACGAAAAATGTTTTTTAACTGCAAAAGTGTATTAATAATTGTAAGTTTTGAAATAAAGGTAGAAAAAAGGTAGATATCTGATAATTCTTACGTTTAAAAAGGGCTGTGTAACTCCTCAGATTATAGTGCGAGTCAACAGTAAATCATCAATTATTAACCATAAAGTAGAGGTGCGACTTATTCGGTGGGTCGACCTATCTGCGAGTCAACAGTAAATCATCAATTATTAAGCCATAAAGTAGAGGGGCGACTTATCCGGTGGGTCGACCTATCTGCGAGTCAACAGTAAATCATCAATTATTAAGCCATAAATTAGAGGTGCGACTTATCCGGTGGGTCGATCTATCTGCGAGTCAACAGTAAATCATCTATTATTAAGCCATAAAGTAGAGATGCGACTTATTCGGTGGGTCGACCTATCTGCGTGTCAACAGTAAATCATCAATTATTAAGCCATAAAGTAGAGGTGCGACTTATTCGGTGGGTCGATCTATCTGTGAGTGAACAGTAAATCATCTATCATTAAGCCATAAAGTAGGGGTGCGACTTAGCCAGTGGGTCGACCTATCTGCGAGTCAACAGTAAATCATCAATTATTAACCATAAAGTAGAGGTGCGACTTATTCGGTGGGTCGACCTATCTGCGAGTCAACAGTAAATCATCAATTATTAAGCCATAAAGTAGAGGTAAAAACTTATCGGTGGGTCGACCTATCTGCGAGTCAACAGTAAATCATCAATTATTAAGCCGCCAAATTAGAGGTGCGACTTATCCGGTGGGTCGATCTATCTGCGAGTCAACAGTAAATCATCTATTATTAAGCCATAAAAGTAGAGATGCGACTTATTCGGTGGGTCGACCTATCTGCGTGTCAACAGTAAATCATCAATTATAAACCATAAAGTAGAGGTGCGACTTATCCGGTGGGTCGACCTATCTGCGAGTCAACAGTAAATCATCTATTATTAAGCCATAAAGTAGAGGTGCGACTTATCCGGTGGGTCGATCTATCTGCGAGTCAACAGTAAACCATCAATTATTAAGCCATAAAGTAGGGGTGCGACTTATCCGGTGGGGCGACCTATCTGCGAGTAAATACGGTAATTTTATTTTCAGTCGTGAGACCGGCAGTAACTTTTGAAAACAGCAAATGACTTGCTAAAGTTTTCTCAGACAAAGCAAACCAGACCTTCTTCCTGTATTGTTTCCTTCGTTAGGGCCATGTTGCTTGGTGCAACGTCGAGTGTCTTGTTAGGCCAGATCGACATTTACAGTCCTTTCCGCACTCTTCATAAAGTAGATGATTGATGTCAAGAAATGTCTCAAAGTTGATTAATGGTCTATCAGCATAGCTACGCTGATGTCATGTTAGGGCTTGTGCTTGACAGACAGTTTCAAGTGGTGGCTTGTGATAGAAGGAGATGGAGAAAGATGGTTTACAGTGGATTCCGTTGCTTTCTGGACAATGCGAATAATTGGGTTGAAACAAAGAGGTTTAGCCAGAAAAAGGTGGTAATATCAATCCAGACGCGTCACAGCTTATCTTTCAATATATATATATATATATATATATATATATATATATATATATATATATAGGAGATTAAAACGAAAACATGTTAAAATCGCTATACAATAGCAGTCGCGTTTCAGCACTACAAATGTGTCTCTTCGGGCGATGGTAATTACTGGCCTTTTGTTTTAATATCCTATAATAAATAATATTTAGCTCTACTCTGTATCGAACCGTCTTTTAAATTAAATGTTACGGACAGTGGAATAATACTTCATTTGTTCACATCTTACATGCACATATATATATTATGTTAAACCCGGATAGTACAATGGTAAATAAAAATACATTAAAACAAATTGGTATCTGGGAATAATTTCTATTACAAAGAAAAAAACAATCGAGTAAAACGATATACAGCATATATATATATATATATATATATATATATATATATATATATATATATATATATATATATATATATATATATATATATATATATATATATATATATAAAAAGCGTTCACACATATATATATATGTGTGTGTGTAACCTTGCTAACCGAACGCTTTTCTGTGGCTCAATCGGTTTAATGCACGTCAGGCATTAAGTGTATAGGATACAGGTTCGATTCCTGTCGGAGGACGCATATGTTCTATGAAAATTTCTCGGACATTCAGGCCGGTAAATGTTGTTTATTATAAACAGAGCATTTACTTAAATGTTTGTATCTATAAAAAGAATGTATAAACATAAAAAATATCTTAAAATAATTGTCGGTTTTGTCCATTTCATTATATATATATATATATATATATATATATATATATATATAGTGTATTTGGGCAGTGATCCCTGTTTTATGTAAGTTTCGTCGAAACCAACTGACAATATACTGTGGTTGAGTTTTTTTATGTGTTCGTATATCTTATTTCTTTTTAGTATTTTAAAGTATGTAAAAATTGTCCAAATATTTTCAAAGCGCTTTTGGTTATACTTTTAGCCGTTATCAACTTCCTTTCTTGGATGTTCTTGTGGAGTCTAGGAATAATACATTCACCATTTCATTAAACAAAATTCCCTGTCAGCTTCGGCCTTACAATACGTCGTCTGCACCTCTAAAGACGGGTAACTTTCTACCACGAGTTGTTCTCGAGGCTAGTAATGCGGGAAATATACTATTAAAAAAAAATATAAGTGATACCCGCTTGGATGATCACGTCTCTTTCGATTCATGACTGACGAGGCAGAAAGATTTTCCTGAAGTAGATTACCGTTTATTTCTGCGGTAGACTGATTGCCAACCAACGCGATATAGGATCCAGTCTGTCCGGCTGAAGGAAGGTGAGATGGAATATATACCTTCTCCAATGGTATTTGCGCACAAGAGAACGTAACTCACCTGACAGGAATTCGAACTCGGCTCACCGACTTCACATCCCGAACCCATATCCATTCCGACACAACGCACATGAAAAAAACACGTTAGTACCGTCAAAAAGGCGGTGGTCATAATCAAGTAATTTTATAAATTGTATTCTTTGTATTTTTGACACGCCCCATCTAAGTATTGTTATCTACAATACGAGGCAAAAAAAAAAAAAAAAAATGGACGCAACTATAGAAATGATGATGAACAAAATATAATGATTATTTACATTTGTATTTATATTTATTAACATGTCTAAGCATTGTTTTGACTTCGAGAGAGGCCAAGTCGCCGCTTTTCATGAGTTGGGGCTGACAATAGATCGATAGCTGATAAGTTTAATCGAAGTGAGTCATGTGTCGGTAAGGTAAAAAATAAAAATGAAACATATAAACATATAAATATAAACTATAAATATAAAAAATATAAAAGATATAAACAGCCTGATATTTAAAAAAAAGTTCTAAAATCATGTCATTTGTTTACATTTGGATACGCATCGAGCACATATGAACGTACGAGAGAGAATCATGGAGAATTGTACTTTAAAAACAGTAAAATCGACCTTGCTATTCGGAACGCTCCTCTGTGGCTAAATCGGTAAAGGACGTTAGGCTACATCACGGTTCCGTATAGGATACCGCTTCGATTCCTGTCGCAGGACGCATATTTTCTATGAAAATTTCTCGGGCATTCAGGCCGGTATATGTCGTTAATACTGTTTATTATAGACAGATCATTTACTTAAATATTTGTATCTAGAAAAAGAATGTATAAACCTAAAAAATATATTAAAATAATTATCGGACTTTGTCCATTTCATAATATATATTTTTATATATCCAAGTATAGGATTGGTGTATACGGAATAAATTCCAATAACGAACAATTACTATTCTTAAAAGAGTGCTCAATACAGAGTTGAGCAAATATAAGTATTTATTCGAAAATTATAACAATATGTTATAAAATCACTACAAAAATAGCCATTTTGTTTCAACACCTCTGGTGTTTTTTTTTAATTATACATATTTTAATTCTACATATCAATTCATACATATTTTTGTAGTGATTTTATAACATAATTATGTTATAATTTTTAGAATTATTATAATTTATATATATATATATATATATATATATATATATATATATATATATATATATATATATATATATATATATATATAGTACGAGGCAAAAAATGGACGCAAGCATAGAAATGATGACGAACAAAATATAATGATTATTACATTTGGATTTATATTTAGTCAAAACATGTCTAAGCATTGTTTTGACTTCAAGAAAGGCCAAGTCGCCGCTTTTCATGATCTTGGGCTGTCGAATAGATCGATAGCTGATAAGATTAATCGAAGTGAGTCTTGTATCCGCAAGTTAATCAAAAAGAGAAATCAAACTTGAACATATAATAGACGTAGCGGATCTGGCCGACTGATAAAAACTAACGACAGGGAAGATAGAAACTTGGTTCGTCAATTCAAAAAAGATCGAGTCGCAACAACACAAGATGTTTCCAAAGCGGATAGTTTGGCGATTTCTTCAAGAACTATCAGATGCAGGTTTAAAGCAAATGGCATTGTTTCCAAATACATAAAAAAGAATCCTTTCTTATCTGGAAAAAATCAACGGGCAAGGTTGGCTTGGTACAAAGCTCTTTTACACTGAACTAAATCTGATTGGGAAGATGTTATGTGGAGTGACGAGAGCCCGTTTACGTTAGATATGAAGGACGAATACGTGTTTGGTGTACGCCCGGTGACACTAATACTCCAGGGACTACCAAGGGCATTATTAGACACGATAAAAAAAATCAACATTTGGAATGCATTCTCAGCAGCAGGAATTCGTAATATGTACAAAATCAACGTTCCAACACGATAACAATCCTAAGCATTTTTGCAACTTTTCCAGTGGCCTAGTCAGAGTCCTGGCCTTAACCCAATTGAAAACCTTTGGGCGATAATGAACAAGCGTGCCCGTAATAGAAAAGTTAACACAGAATATCAGCTTTTTCGTGAAATAAATGCTGGAAAAATCTGGTCAAGGACGTTGACTTATTAAAGAATTTAGTCTATAGCATGCCACGAAGAATTAAGGCCGTTATTAAAGCAAAAGGTTACCCAACAATGATAATGTTCCGGTATTATGTTTATTATTATTATTATTATTATTATTATTATTATTATTATTATTATTATTATTGTTGTTGTTGTTGTTGTTATTAATATAATAATGTTCCGGTATTATTGTGGTGACGAGTAATTTCTATTGATTATATCACAAAAGAATGAATAATCACAAATAGGGGACGTAAGTTTGCGTGACCAAAAACATTTAAAAGTTTTATTGAGTGTTTTATGTAACAGAATTCTTATTACAAGTGGACTTCATTTATTAGTAGGAGCCATTTGCAATGCCGAATGTATCAACTTAGGCACTAATCATACGTGGGAAGTGAAAATAAATTCGGAGCACATTAACGTATCTTAGTAGCAGCATACACAGAGGATTAACACTTTCCCCGCCATTTA